AATTTTAGTATAATGAAGTGCAAGTGTGAGGAAGCTAGGACTTACCAAACAACAAAAAAAAATTGCTAAATATCAATGGTAAGTCCTAGCTACCTCAAACTTGCACTTTGTAAAACTAAAATTGAATGGGCTAATAACTGAGTACTTTACTTTTTTCTAAAGAGTGCAAATTGCAATACTTGGATGGAAATTCGCAGTTTTGTTTAATTTTGCATAAGGTTTGGAACTCTGATTTTTGGGGTTTTTGGTGTAGAATTAACCATATTTTTATAAAAAAAAAATGGAAAAATGAAATATTTAAAAAATAGTTGCCGGTATTGTAAAAACTTCACTGTACCTAAACTTTATTGACTGACTGTATATCTTATTTAAGTTAAGTACGACAAAAACTTTCGAAGTACTTCATATACATATAAGCTTAAAAAGAACTGAATTTACTTAAAAATCAATATGCTTAAATTTAGACAAGTAAGACAAAGTGAACTAATATTTTTACTTTTAAGCAGAACGCACTTTTGTTTTTGACTTACTACTTAAGTTTAATACTACTACTACTACTAATGTGGTTTATAAATTTTTAATAAATGCGTTTAAACATTTATGATTGTATTGTCCTTCCCTCAACCGATCGTATTTAATATAGAAGGGAAATGTTTCGACAAACCTGATTAAAAATGTAGATCTAAGGTGACGAATTTATAACAGGTTGGGAACTACATATAAAAAATGGATGCAGATCGAACTAGATCTCATCTGTCGAATTAGGAACTGGTTTGGAACTAAAGAAAAGGGGATGCAGAACGAACTATATCTCATCTGTCGAATTTGGAACTGGTTCGGAACTATAGAAAAAGGGATGCACAACGAACTAAATCTTATCTGTCGAATTCAGAACTGGTTCGGAACTAGAGCCAAAGGGATGCAACGGGGGACAATTGACACTTCCTAGGACATCGCAATGTTAAATTCGCCAGTCGCTAGCATGAAAAAGAGAATTAAGACGTACTAGTCATGATTCCAAACGCACTAGAACCGAACCAGTTCCGCACTAGTTCGTTTCCCTACAGGGATCGAGTACTTTTGAGGATCAAGGTCTTTGGTATCGATACTTTTAAAGATCGGGTATTTTTGGAAGTACTGAGTATCTTCTTTAAATTTCAATTCTTAGTGTAGAAATCTCACAAGCTGGCATCAGTTTATGAATGGCTAACTTTACTGGGTTCAAGTAGTGTAATCGAGTACATTAATTTCTAAATACCGGTAAATTTAAAAAAACACAGTACTTTTAAGTACCTGTTCGACACTTAATACTCAGTACTTTTAATCGATCCTGATTACATGTATCAAAGTGATGATTGGAACCGAGTACTTTAGAATACTGAATACACTCGAGTTCTCTTACGTTCTGTACTCAGTATCGATTCTTTTAAAAATCGGGTGCTCTCGATCTTTTTGAGAATCGAGTTCTGAATACTAAGTACCGCTCAACGCCTATAACGAGAAAATTCACGATTTTTTTTTAAATACGCCAAATTCAGCTACAGTGTTTTTCTATTCCTCAGAAATGAAAGTCTGAAAACCTCAAAGAGTAATACATTAATCAAAGTTAGATTTTATGCGAGTTGCACTAGAAACTTCCAGATTTTCTAGATTTTAGCGAGTAAGTTAGTCATATAAACCGATAGTTCTGTTAAAAATAACTATTTAGTGATATTTACACATATACGTGGAATTAACGAAGGTATAGAAACCGGACTTGACAGTGGAGATGCTTTGTGGCAGCAGTAATAAGTCAATACGTAAAATCTCCCGATTTCAAAAGATTTCCCCATATATTTTCAATTCAAACCTACGTTGGATATAGGGCAACATATATACTATAAAGCAGTCATGTCTAACGCTGGAAGAACTCTATAAGCAAGTGCCCCGCGCTGGGGAAAAAAATATTAAAATCAAATAGAAATGTAATTGATCTTACTATAAACGTCAACGAAAGTACTGTATATTGGTAAATATTCAATTCAATTACGCGCATATTAAAATTACCGCGTTCGTACGGAAAAAGCATCTGTGAAGTGAATAATCAAGACAAAAACTAAAAAAAAAAAAATTAATTTGCATGTGGATTTGCAGTGGAATTCGAACCCGACCATCTCCGGATATCAACAACTTGTGGTAAGCATCTTTACGCACTCAGCTACACCCAGGCATATAAGTTTGCTTTCAAATGTTGAATATCCATCAACACCACAGCACGCGATTTGTACGGACAAACATGTAGTTCTGAACTGGTGCGCCTGTAGTACGTTTAGACCCAGCACTGGTTCGCGATTAATCTCTTTTGCATACAAACAACTGGCGAATTTAACATGGCGATATAGTTCCGAACCAGTTTTAAAAACGCCAGACGAAAGAAAAAAGTATCATGATTTTTAAATCTTTCGGTTCTTCTATTTTCAAAGAAACGTTTTTTCGATTTGAAATTAAATTTGTTTGAATGATTGTAAGAAATGTACGTTTACATACCTTTGGCTGTAGCTGACTTTGCATAGGTGCTCGCTGTTATTGGTTAGTTTCCAGACGGCCCCAAGATGTTAATATGTTAACACAAAGTTTTGTTTTCTATTACCAAACTATGAAATAGCATCTGCGAAGTGCAAAATGAAAGTGCATTTGAACGAAAAAGCCGCCAAACACATATCTATGTAAAGTAAACAAGCCCCCCGCCGCATCCCTTTTTCGATAGTTTCGAACTAGTTCTAAATTCGACAGATAAGATCTAGTTCGTTCTGCGTCCCTTTTTCTATAATTCCGAACCAGTTCTAAATTCGGCACTTTAAATATAGATTTCTAATGAAAAAAAGAGAAATAAAATAGTTTTTTATGAGTCCCACATTTCGCTGATTTTGAACTGGTGGGGATCTACTTACTATCGGACTGGTTCGTTTTTGGCGATAAAGTTCTTGTACTGAACTAGAAATTTTATGCACCAGTCCGCGGTTTCCCTGCAGGGGCACTCAGAGCGGCGCTCTGCATGCTTGGGGTGCGTACGTACACTCACACAGTCAAATACGTGCGTAATAAATTCTGTATGAAAATATTATTTTTAAATACGAACATTTTTAAACGATAATCAAATATAAAGTATTCATTTTTAATATGCATTGTTTCCCTCAGTGTAGGCGGTGTTTTTTTTTTGTTTGAAATCTTGATTTTTCGAATATCGAATAAACCGGACTTTTTATCGATGAAACCGTTTTTTATTTCGTACAAATCTGTACCTCTCAATAAAATTTTCGAGATTTTCGAAGTTTCCAAGGTTTTTTCCAGTTCTAGGTTATTTTGGGATGAACAGTATATCATACATAATTCCAATAAATGAATGTTTAACGCTTAAGCGTTTTCTTCCGGTTTGGCCGAGCTTCTCCTCGTGCTCAGCTTCTTGATGTTGTGATGCAAATGGAGAGATCTACTCTTTTACTCACCTTCCGAAGGACATTTTTTATAGCAGAAGTGCACTCGTAGGTCTGCCGAAGGGAGACCGCTATGTGAAAAAAAAACTTTTTTGATGTTGCTTTTTCGTTATTTTCTAAATGAAAGCTATCTTTATTGTTTATAGTTTTATTGTAATTTTTGGTCATGACTTCATACCTATATAAGCATTTCCATTGTATGAAAACAATGTAAAATAAAACTGGTTTATCAGGTTTTTTCTTAAGTTCAACATCGAGCACCAGTTTTTTACAAATTGCAATTTTTCGTAAAACTCTAGAACCGGTTTTGGAAAAAAAGCGAATAATCGAACACCCCAGTATTACAGTCAGCGTCAAAAATATGAATACTCAGACGTTTTATTATTTATATACTCCATAGCAAATTTTTCTTATTTTTTTTATAAAAATATAGTTAGTTCAACAGCAAAAATCAGCAGCATCAAATTTTTCAATGACATCAAAATTTTTGACTTTTCAATTCGATTTCTTAGAAAAATTTTGAGTACGCAGTTTTGTAGCCCATTGAATTTTAGTATAAAGTTTCAAGTCTATAAAAATTACCGTTGATTTTTGAGATTTTTTTTTTTTTTTTTGGCATTTTCTTCCACCTAAAAATAGATTTTGTTCATGCGAAATCATGAAGAAATCGAATTATAAAGTTTGTTAGTATTTCTTGAATTTTCCCGAGCTCTATATGATATTGAATGAGTTATATTTTTATAACAAAATAACAAAAAAAAATTTTATGGAAAATACAAACGAAAAAAATCGTCAAAACGTCAGGGTATTCATATTTTTGACGCCGACTGTATGTATATTAGACCACGTCAAAAAAATAAAAGTCCTACAATGCGACCAGAGCTTAAAATTTTCGGCTCTGTTCATAAGTATACCTGTGTTCAGAAATGCATGAAGCCAAAACATCAGCCTCTTCTATTTCTAAACTATTACACGGTGTTCCAAAAAAAATAACGAAAGATACCCGAAACAAAACTTAATGTAGGTTATAGGTAGGGTACACAACAACAACAACATGAAAAAAACAGTCATTTGAATACGCGATGCACTTATCTATTAACAGTTTGACTACTTTTCGTTTTTTACTTTTTCGAATGAAAAAATTAAACATGTTTTGTAAAGGGGATTTATAGACTTTTAAAAATATATATGTATGTGTAACAGTCATGCCCAACGCTGGCAGAACTCCATAAGCAAGTGCCCTGGACTAGGCATACCTGATGTATAACAATGTATTGTTAGACTTCGTTTGTAGGGAGTTTTTATCGTGTAAAATTTAAAAACCCTACTTGGTGCTCTTTGGGGACTAATGGGTGTTGCATTTCTAGGGTCAGAGCTAATATTTCCTCATGGAAATATGATTTTTCTATTAATCTATTTTCTTATTGAGATTAGCTTACTATTGGTTTTTTTTTTTTTTTTTTTTAAATTTATCTAAAAACTAGTTGAAGCTGATCTACACTTTAATTAAACTAATCGATTACTTACATGCGAAATAAATATTCCAGGCTCATGTGATCCAAACGGCACGCACGAATGATCCGTACCACCAATAATACTGAAGCCAAGCGATCCTTGATTCTTGGGTAAGATAACTTCCTATAATTTGAACAAAATGGTAAGGTTGAACAAGTGTCCTCGGTACAGTACCGCAATAAAAGTATAAACAAACATTTGAAACATACATATCTTCTAGAATTTACAATAAATACAATTTTGATAAACTTTTAAAAAAGTTCAATGAATATTGACGATGATGTGTATGGAAATTGTTGGTGATATTTACAAAATAAAAAACATTTTTGGTATTACATATAATCGCCATGTTAATAAAGCAAATAAGTAAGTAAATAATTAAAAGTACAAATGTCAATTCACATACGTATGTATTTTTCTATGCAATTTCGTGTTAATGGTGATCTAAGCACGGCTTTTAAAAATGTGCAATTTTTTTTGATGCGAAGAGGCATGAAATAGATGAGAGAATGTGCTGCTAATAAAACAAGCAAATAAATATACGAAGAGAAAACGTATGTATATGTATGTACTTATGTATAATAAAGGGAATACAAAACCAAATACCACAAATGCATTGAATTTTAAAAATAAAAACACAAGTGCACATAGTACGAGGGTCACTAAACAAGTCTATGGAATTCGCAACACTAATGTCATTTGAGTCGGGTGTTGAGAGAAATAACACAAACGGCAATAACGCAAATTTGTGTTATTTCCCAATTGAATGTGAAATAACAAAAATTTGCTTTATTTCATTTCATGCTGAGCAATAAGACAACCTTTTAAACTTAACAATTTGAGTAATAAAGCAAAATGGTGCACATATGAAGGTAGTCACCAAGAATGATAGAATACAAGATTGCGCCGATTGCAGCAGTTTCGGATCGATATCGCACTTGTTGACGTAAAAATATTTCATATCATACGTCAACAAAACCGATACCGACTCGAAAATTGTCGCTAACTGGTTACAGAATCTGTCGCTAACTGGTTACAGAATCTGTCTACAAAAATTATATCGTCCGATTCAGCTGGAACAAAAATGCTTCAAACAAGTAAGAGTGTCTCTGTATTATGGCCTCGAACCGACATATATACATCTTTCATTTGAATCAGTATTAAAAGCTCTATTGGCTCCTAGATTCGGATTTTGACACGCGTTTTTTCCATATTTTTGGCCTATGTGTGCTTTTATTCGAAACCAAAATATTTCGGTACCGAGTATTGGATACTTAAAAGTATTGACTCAGCACATCACTAATGCTGTCATCTGGACTGTGACGTCAGCAAAACAGCTGATTCTGTCAAATTCACTGAGAGCCGATTAGCGGTATTGCCATCGGCGCCACCTGCTACATATATTGTATATAAATGAATTATATTTTTGCAAATCATATGTTTTGAGTCATATGTTATATATACAGCGTAGTAATTTTAAAACTTCAAAATTACATTTCTTGACTGAAAAATAAAATATTCGAGCTAACTCGACGGCACATAGTGTGCTTTTTTAACACTTCATGCCAATTAATCGTAGCGCTTTCGTCAGAAGAAATATTTTGATATGAAGCAAAATGACTTTGAAAGCTAATTTAATTGCAATTCAAGGAAAAATATTGCCATTGAGTCACAATCACTACTTGACCTTAAAAAAATTGATCAAAAATAGTGTTCTTTGAAAAAAAACATGCAAAATCCAACGGATATATTTAAAAAAAAAAAAAAAACATTTTTTGGATTTTTTATTATACTAATATTAAAGATTTTGGGATGAGAAACATGATTCCACTGTTTAAAAAACGAAAAAAAAATATCAACCCCTCAATGCGTTATAATTGCATTTTTTATTATTTGCATGCAGCTGAGCATCCTTCACACAATTGTTACCCCTCGAAAAACAAGTCAGTTTTAGTGCTATTCAAGACCTTTAATTTAAGCCACGGAAGAAGTCTCTAGGCCCTTTCAGAGCTAAATTATTACGATTCTAAAGTTAAGCTTCGAAATTTTATTCGATATTTTAGGCAGTTTTTATTTTTTTTTCTAATTTCGGAGTAAAAACTAGTACAGCAGCTTCGAAGTTTGGTTTAAAATTGTTATAACTTGGCTCTCAGAGGGCCTAGAGGCTTCTATCTTAGCTCAAATTAAAGGTCTTGAATTGCAATTGTTGTTACAGGGATATATAATTGAGTGAAGGAAGCTGCATGCAAATAGAAAAAAATGCTATAAATAATGCATTTTTAAAATTAAGGTGTTCAAATTTTTCTTCGAATTTTGAACAGTGGAATCGTATTGCTCGTCTCAAAATCTATAATACAAGTATAATAAAAAATACATAAACTTTTTTTTTTGGAATAAATCCCGTGTATTTTGCATATATTTTTTTTGAAGAACTCTGCTTTTCACCAATTTTTTTAATGTCAAGGGGTAATTGTGGCTCTGTGGCCAGAATTGAAAGGGATTTACTTTAGCTTTCAAAACCATTTTGTTTCGTATCAAAATGATGCTTCTGTCGAAAGCGCTACGATTAATTCGCGTGCAGTGTTCAAAAAGCACACTGTGCGGCTTGTGAAAGGACAAGAGATGTATTTTAAAAGGCTGTGCATATTTTTCAGATATGAATTCAGCGACAGAATCTATATGAAATGGCCAATTTCATATCAGAAAAAAAAATTTCAATTAGCACGAAATTGTTCCGGAAGTAGAACCACAATACCAAGAGTGTAATTGAAATTCTTAACCAAACTCGGATTTCTCGACAGACTCGGATTTGGTAGTGGAAATTTCCCCTCGCTTTATTTTCTGACATTCGGATGTCTTATAGTCACATTTTATAGGCATGTTTTTAAATAAGGCAGTGTCAAAATATTTCTTCTCACTATAATATTACTTCACCTGGTGTAATTCCACCATGGGTGGGGTGCATGCAATAACACCATACGCAATAATTTCCATTACTTGGACATTAAAAAGTAGTTTCAGAAGTGAAATAGTGTCATTTTATTATTATACCTTTTCTAAACGATCATAATGACAGCAGTCCATAACTGCGAAAGGAGGGGAGGGCGGAGGACGCGGGCGCGACGTCGCACGCAGCGTGGCGTGGGTGACTACATACTTTACAAATAGTATAAATAAGCAATGGGAAATAAGGCAAAATTTGTTTTATTTCCAAACTTTGTTGGAAATAAAGCAAAACTCAGATTTTGGTATTATTTCCCATTTAAAAGTGAAATAATAATTTACGTAACGAGTTCCTCGTTTACCACTGTGACGATTCGACCCATGGCTTCAAGAACGTAATCCATTCGGGTTTCAATATTCTACGCAGTGCACAACTGAGGTGGAGCTGATTTCCAGCAAATCCATTTCGAATTTAGCACAAACCGCCGAAGAATGGGATTAGTTAACCAGATACCACTCCTACAATAGACTTAGGGCCATTCTCTGAAGTAACCTTTAACTTTAAAGCTCACTTTATATTTAAAGGTTGGATTAAAGCAACGTCTAAAGTTAAGTATTTCTATTATCGGTTTTTGACGTATGTATGTTTCTTGGTTGTAAACCAATTTAAAACCGATAATAAAATGCTTCACTTTAGACACAATCATACATTTTAATGTAACCTTTATATATAAAGTGAGCTTTAAAGTTACAGGTTACTTGGGAAAACGGCCCTTAAACGAGTAACCGCGCATTTAATTCGCATTCTAATCCTCTATTCAGCCCAACACAAATAAGCGAGTATCGGGCCCGGAATCTAACAGCTTTGCATGCATGAGCACAGGCGCAACGCACTTGGAGTTGGCCGGGACCTTTCTTGAATTAGCTTTATCGCTGCATTTGAACGCTGTATTGGTGATGAAAAACTGGCATCCTACTTCGTTGACTGCCAAACGACTTGGCACTTCAATCCACCTAGCGCTCCTCACATAGGTGGGTATTGGGAAGTTGGTATAAATCGCACCAAATACCACCTGAAACGTTCCTTGGACTCTAATCTTTTATCCTACGAGGAATTCGCAACATTCCTGACACCAGGTCATTTTACGGTTGGCGAACCGCTAAAAGGCCTCCCCTGATCCAGATTTGGAGATATTCACGGGAACGCTCTTTCACGATGGCAAATCATTACAGCGATAAGGCAACATTTCTGGATGTGCCCGCGACAAGAATATCTCGCAAATATTCTGCAACGCATGAAACGACTTCGTTCAGCACAAAATTTACAAAAAGACGACGCACAGTGTTTCGACTAAACGGAGGCAGGTAAAGGGTGTTTTTTTTTTGGACATGTGGTTTTCAAGAAGAAATAAAACGCATATAGTTTAATGTTATGGCCAAGAATTTAGCTTTATTATAAAGATAAAGGTTTGCCATTATGTTTTAAAATTATTTCGGGCAAGTGGCCGCCGCAATTGGCTCGAATAAATTCCAGCCGAGAAACCCAATTTTCTACCACTTTTTGCAGCAATTGGTGCCGTATGTCAGCAATAACGCTCCGAACATTCTCTTCCAAGGCGTCAATCGTCTCGGGCTTATCTGCGTAGACAAGCGGCCTCACATAACTCCACAAAAAATAGTCCAGAGGTGTTAAATCGCACGTCACCAAAAGTTTGCTTCGCCTTGTTGGAACCAAAGGTCGTCCACATCAACATCCTCCAATTCAAGCACGAAAAAGTCATTAATCATGGCTCTATAGCGTTCCCTATTAACTGTAACATTATGGCCGGATTCATTTTTGAAGAAGTATGGACCAATGATTCCCTCTGCCAATAGAGCACACCAAACAGTGACTTTTTGAGGATGCAGGGGCGTCTCAACAATGGCTTGTGGATTATCATTACTCCAAATGCGACAATTTTGTTTATTAACGTACCCATTCAACCAAAATTCAGCTTCATCCCAGAAAAAAAAAATGTTCTTGTGAAAATCGGGATCGGTGGCCATCTCGTTTTGGGCCCATTCACCAAACGTGCGACGAGCTTGATGGTTTCGGGTTCAATTCTTGCACGAGTTGGATTTTGTAAGCCGCAAACCAAGATCCTTCCGCAAAATCTTCCATAAAGTGGATGGGCACATCT